ATATATATATATTTGAGCTTATACGTAGAATTTGAAAAATTAATAATACTTTTTAAGACAAATAATCTAAATATAATCATACTTTTGATATAAAGAGAAAAAAAAAATTTATTTGATTTATATGGAAGATGAATGCATGAGAATAAAAAAAAAATTTCACCCATAATAAATAAATCTAAGTTGGAGACAAGACATTATGTAGGGGACACCTCCAGAACTTGGAGTGGAGCTTTTCATCAGAGGATATTAGAGTTTACGAATTCTATCTTATTATTATTATTATTATTATTATTATTATTATTATTATTATTTATTATTTATTATTATTATTATTATTATTCAAGAATAATTAGAAAAGTTTGTCTCTATCAGTTCATCATCTTTGAATGGACTACGCCATAGACAAAATCAATGGGTTTTAGTGAGCTTATTTGGAGCAGTCAAAGAAGATGAAGTGGGTGGAAAGCAACCCATACAATAATCATCGAGTGAGGCTCAAACAACTCTGTCGTCTCCCTCAATTGATTGGGGAACAACAAATGGAGTGTTACAAGTGGAGTGGTTTATGTGAGTGGGAGGACAACAAATGAGAATTGAGATTCATAAAGGAGGATGTTTCTTAAAGATTGTTGTTAGTGAGCCTATTTGATGATGTATGAAGATATAAAAAAGAAAGAACATCATGCACATATGATTAGTGTCCGCCATTTTAAGCCATTAAAGCTTTTTTTTTGGGTTGCATACAAATTTAAAATCAAATCATCCAAGCATAAAGGAGTAGGAGAAGTCCTATCTTTTTATTGAATATTTACTTGAACTATGTTAGTGCTAGTGTTAGTATCAATTTTGCCAATCGATTTAAGATATTAAAATTGATCCGACTTATTTTATTTTTCATATAAGTTTAGTAATCGAATTCATATTCAGACGAGTCATCTAAGTTATATATTAGGGATATATCTGATAAGATTCTTTTTAGAAGATTCCTATTTCACATACATATGCCTATATTTACATCAAGAAACCTATAATTTTCTTCACCAAAGGGGATGAAAACTCGACCAAATGATTTATTTACAAAATAGAGACTTGCGCATTAAAAAATACTCTCGTTTGGCTCGTTGCTATTATGAGAATTTCTTTTACTCTCTTTTTCCTTGGCCACTAAAATGTTTCGGAAAAAGTTCGAAAGGTTGACATATTAAAGAATCTTCAAAACATAAACAATCATGGGCCTAACAAGCCTCGATCTTATTTGGGCCTGGCCCATTAGGCCCAAATAGTTATCGGGCCTACCTCGATCATATAGATTATGTATGTGGAATGATTTTATAATTTTTGAATCGGGGACTAAAGAATTTTTTTTGTAGTTGAAAAGATATGATTGTCTATAAATAATATTCTCTATATTTTTGTAATATCATGCAGATGAAAAATAAATAACAAATCAGAAATAGTTGTTTCAGCGATGTTACGTTTAGGTAAAGATCACTACTAAATCAGCTCCTCTACGAGTTGTGTTCTCTGGTTATCAGGACACACGAAGAGAAGATAAGATGCTTGTTGACCTAAACTACACCATGTCTATTTACATAATGATATCGATCAAAACACGAAGGTGATATTAAAGCAGAAGGTAGCATAAGAAGAAGAAGAAGAAGAAGAAGAAGAATAGGAGGAGGATTGCATTAGTAGTAATGGATTCCCTGTAAGGCCATGACGAAAGAGATTGATGTGCATGGAGTGATCTGATTGATGTGCTCCGTTGGTGTTTCCAGCTTTGGCTCCTTCCCGTCACCATGCATCGTCTCCATTATTGACGCATGACAGGTAGAGAGCAAAATGATGGACGCCGTGACGAGGTCGCAGATGGCGACGATTCCTCTTTATGCTTCGTGTCGCCCAAAAAGTTCTTATCTAGCGATCACGTCACTGAAGAGAGAAAAGCTTTTGTTCTGTAATCCAAAACCTCACTTGTTTCTCTTCATGAAGTAAGCCCATCTGCATCGAGAAAAAGCTCATTGTTGCACGGTGAAGAAGCGCAAGGAACTATCAAACAACGAATCAGCGGTGTCATCAGATTGCATGTCATAAAAGGAATCACCGCTCGTGATATGTTGTCCATGCAACAGTGGTCGTCTCCCTGGTTTTGATGGTTCTTGTGCATGCTTGCGAGACTCGTCCATGCCATCGGATCTTTCTTCCAGTAACCTTCAGTAGCAGGTTCTTCAGCTGCGTGGCCATGGCGGAGAGAGTGAGCTGGCCGCGCGCGTCCTTTTCCTCCGGGAGAAACCATCTGCAACACCTTCATTCCCGCGGGAGGCAAAAGAAGAGAGGCCACGTCACGCACTTGCCTGGTCGTTGGAAAATGGACCGGACTTACGTGGAATATCCAATTGGACCGGACGTACGTGGAATATCCAATTGGACCGGAAGCCGAAGCCAAGTCCGACTCTCCAACGGACCCGGCCCTGGTATTTTGGAACTCGCCAGTCTACCACTAATCTAATTCGAGGATTGTTTGTGGACCCCACTTTGTTTTGTGATGGCAGAAATCGGGGGTTCGAAACAAATCGTGTTCGTTTCCCTGTCGAACTTACTCGTCACCCTATTTGGCCTGCTTAATGTCTTCCCGGGCGACGGCGGTTGCAGCCGATCTCTTCCCCCTCGCTCTGGTGTTCCTTCTCCTATCGCGAACGGAAGCGCCGCCGCGGAGGTTTACCCCGTCTCGTCCTTAGGTATAAACGGATTCGCTCATCCTTCGCCTCGGTCACCGTCTTCTGTGCCTTTTCAATGGTCAACGTTTTGGTAGATTTCGCTTCCGTTCGTGTGCAATGTTCTTTGTCGCAGTCGTGAACGATAGGAGTTCCGTCTGGTTCTCTTGGGCTTTCATCCTTCTTCTTTTCCCATTTCATTATGATTTTAATGTTCTTGCTGAATAATCTCTGTTTTCTCTGGGTTCGTTCGTCGTCTTGGATGACAGATATCTGTTCTTCTAAGGCTTGCCTTTTGTGTCTAGGCATGAGTGTGGGTTTGCTTCCATTATTCCAAAAGTGAGTTCCGAAGGAACATGGAAATTGCTTATAGTAGATTGGGTTGACCAGAGTTGCTGCATTGCTGCTAAAAACATTTTGGGTTTTTGATCTCTAGAGAGTATTCAGAAAGGCCTCCTTTGTTGGGTGATTGACTGAGGAGATAAAGATATAAGATGGTCTCTAGAGAGTATTCAGAATGCCCTCCTATCAACAAATGAATGCCCTCTCTTTTGTGGCTCTGTGCAGTAAATATTGTCTGATATACCTTTCATCTAATGCATTTACCTCTTGTGTGGTTCTGTTAGCCATATTTTATCTAATAGTTTACTTGATTTGGAACGTTTATTGTGTCAGTTTGTGTTTGCTTGTGCAAGATCATAGCCTGCCAATAAACTGGTTAAAGATAATATGAAGTTTCCTCTACGAGCTAAGTACTTTGTGCTGTTAGAAAATATATACTTGTGTGGCAGCTCATTATAATACAAGAATAGAATAGCTCAACCTCAGTAAAGAAATAGCCCATACTTAAAGACATTGATCTTACAAATAGCCACTAATTATACATGCTTAAATTTGTAGACTACCAAGTTTTGTTGAGGATTAGCTAACATTGCACTTTAAGGTTCCTTGATACTGCAAGAAGCCAAAATCTCATTCTTTTATGAGCAAAAGGAGTAAACAGACACCAATGTGGACCATCGTATACTCCTTTTCTTAAGCTCTGGAATCTTCACAAATCTTTCAGAATCTAACCTCAATGACCATGCCATGGTTGTTCTATATGATCAACCCTTATCACATTCCATGCTAATTAATTTATGTTGTATCTACTAAAATTCAGTCAAAGGAAGGTTTTAAGTTCGTTGTCTTCTTTCCAGCATTTGTCCTCGCATGCCACTTGCACTTGAAAAATCCAGCTTTAAGAAAATCCCCAGAGATGAATATTCTCATGAAGACTATTTCTTATTGGCTTGTCAGTAGCATCTGTTTCCAAAGTACAATTATAATTTTTGGCTGTTTACGGTACTACACTACAAATTTTCTTGAAGAAAATATGACATTTTTTGGAGAAACCTTTAGGTGGGCTGCCAGTCAAAGACACTTCACAGTGGCATTTGTTCTGGTCACTAAAATTAGTCAGAGGAGTGAGTTGAGTGAACAAGTAACAACGTTAAGCTTGGGCATTTAAATGGACCAAAACATAGCTTGAGCATTTAGAAATTACTGTGATGAGTTTTACTTGTCAAAAATACCTAACACCTTTGCTGTGACCCTCAGGTTCTCCTTTCTGTGGAACTACGTACATATCTGTACTTTTGTCTTTATAATGCAATTTAGGAATTCTTTTACCCTGCAAGACAAATCAATCCAGGTTATGGTCATCAATGGAGGGTTTAGTTTGTTTTGAGAACACAGTCATTGCAAATTCCTGATCTATAAATTTAGAATATTGAGCAAAGATATGCTTAATATTTTATGACCTTAGCATCAAAGTGAAATTTGGCAGGAGAATCTAGCTTCTTTTCCTGACAATGCTTAATATTTTATGACATTAGCATCAAAGTGAAGTTTGGCAGGAGAATCTAACTTCTTTTCCTGCCAATGGATTGTGAGAAGGCTGAAATTCTTTAAAAGGAACAATGGATTGCCAACGGAATTGAACTCTCTCGACAGCAAGCTCCATTCTTCCTTTTTCCCAACATAACTATCTTCTATTGACTTGCTATGTTTTGATACTCAATCTTGGATACTTATTGTAATATTTCCAGCAATTTCTTTTTCATATTCTAATGATGCAATTAATATCTTGAATGGTTGCTGCCTTTTGGTTTGACTACTATCTCAAATCATCAACTTTCTTATGATTCTTCATGTTGCGTTTGCCATGATGAAAACTTTAGTTTTACTTATGCTGTATGGCAAAAATGTTTTCTGCAAAGTACGACATTCTTTGCTAGTGCTAAGAATAATATGCTCATGTTTTCCGATAGAACATTGGATACCTTATAGACATGTCATTTGCAATTTCAGATGGACTCTCAGAACTCTGAAGCGGCTCAAATTATTGAAGTAGACATGGAAGTACCTCCTGGTGTTTCTGGCTTAGGTGGGAACAAGATCTGCGGGGGTGCATCTTGCGATTTCTCCGACATTAGGACCAGTTCAAAAGATGCCAAAGAGAGATCTGCATCTATGAGGAAACTTTTAATGGCCGTAATCCTTTGCATCATATTCATGAGTGTGGAAGTGGCTGGAGGTATTGCAGCAAATAGTCTTGCAATCTTAACAGATGCTGCTCATCTCCTTTCAGATGTTGCTGCTTTTGCTATCTCCTTATTCTCACTTTGGGCATCTGGATGGGAGGCAACACCACAGCAGTCATATGGGTTTTTCCGGGTGGAGATTCTTGGAGCATTGGTCTCTATTCAATTGATATGGCTCCTGGCTGGAATACTGGTCTATGAAGCTATTGTTAGAATTATACATGACAACGGTGAGGTCCAAGGCAAACTGATGTTTGCTGTTGCAGCATTTGGCTTGTTGGTCAACATTATAATGGCTGTCATGCTGGGTCATGAGCATGGACATGGTGCACACAGCCATGCGCATGGTGGACATAGTCATAGCCACAAGAAGGCTGACCGTGACCACTCTCAGCATGATGATGATCATGGCCATGGTCATGGCATTACTGTCACAACCCATCATCATCATCATGCAAGCGAGGAGAAGATCAAGGATGAGCATGTTCCACTTTTAAGGCATTCTGACCATTCTCTGGTTGAAAACTCTGGAGTTAGGAAGCAGCCGCGCAACATTAATGTCCACAGTGCTTATCTGCATGTTCTTGGAGACTCCATTCAGAGCATAGGAGTCATGGTTGGAGGGGCCATCATATGGTACAAACCTGAGTGGAAGATTATCGATCTGATATGCACACTAATCTTTTCTGTCGTGGTGCTGTTGACTACAATCAAAATGCTGAGAGACATTCTGGAGGTCCTCATGGAGAGCACACCACGAGAGATCAATGCCACCAAGCTCGAGAAAGGGCTCTGTGAGATGGATGGTGTTGTTGCCGTTCACGAGCTTCATATATGGGCAATCACTGTTGGGAAGGTCCTCCTCGCATGCCATGTCACGATTACTCGTGACTCAGATGCTGATCTCGTGCTTGATCAGGTGATAGGATACATCAAGAGGGAGTATAACATCAGTCATGTGACCATCCAGATCGAGAGAGTGTAGGGTTTTTTTTTATCTGATGTGTCACTGGTTGCAGCTCTATAAGATTTATGTTGATTTAATAAGCTCAAGATATCATCTTATTGCTAATGAAGCTTATGTAGTAACTATAGGAAGAAGTTAATGTCTACAATTGATTGCTTTCTTAGGGAGGGAGCTGATCGAGTTGTGTACCATGTTGGTGATACAAAGACGTGCAATTATGGTAACATTTTGAGCTTCATCTGCAATAGACTTGATTTTTCTTGTTCTTTGTACATGGCTGATGTGTTTGAAACCGGAGTGCACTCTGGATCTCATCAAAATACGAAGGCAACGCAAACCAATTTGGATCCTGTGAAACCCCATTAGATGATGTGTTGATTGGTTGATTGACTGCTTGTTTGACATGCTGCCAAAGATGATTTGTTTTTAGTTCCTGGAAACAGTTGGCTGTGTTGTGTCAGACACAAAAACCTGAATAGAAGTGGTTTTGTGGTTCTACATCAGCAACCAGGCTGCTGCAGCTTGAAGGATCTCTCTTGCAGATTCTGTAGGATTAAGCTAGGCAGCTTTCTTTGTTTGCTAACAGGACCTTCATGAACTATTTGAAATCAACCACTTGGTGCATCTTCATCTTGTGGTTCTACTTGGAGCAGCATTCTTCTTTTGAGGTCACAGATCAAGGTGCGAGAATTCATAGTTTTGTGAAGATTCATGTTCATGTTTGTTTTCACATGCTCTGTGTTTTCTCACAATCAATTATAAGATGATGCCATATGTGGTAGCTTGCTTTTCATCAAAGTGAGTAGATTTCATCCATTTGAATTGATGTTGTACCTAAATAAATATCTGGAATCGACTACATAGATCTTTTCTCGTTATTCGATTCCGCTACATAGATCTTTTCTTGTGATTTGATTCCACATGGTTTAATGATTTTAGAATTGATATTAGAACAACTTCTTAGAGTGAAACTCAAGCATCCAATGGGTAGGGCTTGCTTTGTGAGTAGGAAATCTTTAGATTGTCAAAACGATAAGTTCTTTTTTCTTTTCCTCTTATTTGGTGTGAAAACAAATAAAATAAAGGTCGATCTTAAGAAATAAACATTGATCACAAGAATAAGATCTGAGACATTTTGTCTTAATGGAGACTGAATCATCTTATTAAATAATCTTCTTTCCACCAAGTCCAAATCCATATCCTTCAAGCTTTCTTCCTTTTTTTTTTTTTTAACTTTTGCTTGCAACATTACATGTCACTGTGCATCAAACTGTACCCCCATTACACAGATACCAAAAAAATCCAAGGTGAGAGGAAGATAGGCCACCATATGGTCAAAAGCACCCACCACTGGCTTAAAGAAAACATAGCTGTTTCTAGAACCTGAATTCCTTTAATGCCACATACCTATTTTTATTCAACCTAGTAGATTATTATTGTATTACAATGTGCCAAAATCATACTAGGAAAGGCTTGCAGTAGGGTTCTCCAAACACAACAATTGCTTATCCAGAATTATCTATCTATTATGACAAAAGATAATCCAAAGCTTTCCATCATGAATTCAGAAGATGGCTTAAAAGTGTTGCATTAAGTTGATTGCAAAGATTGTTTCAAGAGAAATGGCATTTCTGAAGCATTGCAAGCTCACTCAAACCCCAATTTGGATGTAGGCAACAAGTGTTGCCTACAAAGATGAGAGCTAACAATTGACTAGCTAACCAAATTTAAGCAACAGAAGAAATAATCATCAACAAACAACTTTCTTGTGAAAGAATGAATTCCCAAAAGCCAAACAAAGTACTCCATGTAAAAGGCAATCTTACCAAACTAACAATGAGAGGAGGTGGTGGAAGATACCCACCAAAGCCACTTTAAGGGTAATCAAGTATGGGGACAAAAGTGGTGGTGGGGGACAGCACCATGAAGAAAAAGAGACAATGCACAACTAGTCAGCAAAAGTTGTGGCTACCTTAAAGTATATCTTCTCAGCTTACAATCATGTCTCAAGAGATGTCAAGTGGAAGCTGTTGCTCATTCCAATAATCTCACAAAACTCATCTGGTTCACAGAACAGATGAATGGGGGAAGACAAGATGCAAATTTATGTCAAGTGTTAACACAAAAAGCATTTGATATAACTGAAGAATACAACCCTGACAAGAATAAAAAGCTTATACCTTTGTAAAACCTAATTACCATCTATGTTTATATCCATCTTCTTAGTAATCTATGAATGAAAGAACTTGCACCTTGGGCTTCCCATCTTCTTCATGAGCAAGCCCTCCTAAAAATGATATGAAGTGAACAAATATAATTTTGAGGAAAGAACAGGTCAGATCAAGCAAGTTATCAGCAGCCAGGGCATCCTCTATGCCATTAGCTTCTCCTGTTTGGTTCCTGCAGAGAACATCTCAGGACAGTAGAAGTCACCCTCACCATTAGTTTGGTGCTCGTTTTGCTGCTTGCCCATGTCAATCCGCCCTCCTAATGGAACCGGGCCATCCTTCACAAGAGATTGCACCCAAGACACATCAGACTCATCCAAGTCCAGAGCTGCAGATGCAGTAGATAACGCTCCACTAGTGTTATGTTTGTCGCGGAAGTCAAAAGATGCAGACTTTCTCAGCTTGTTCAGCTCTTCTCCTCGAACACCCCAATCCAATTTACCATCCGGCGATCCCCAGTCGGACAGTGCCGACTCTGTTGCCACTGCAGCGTTTGTTGTAGCAAAGAGTGTGGGTTGGCGACCGGCTGCCGCCCCACGATCACAGAAGCTCTGGCTGCGTTTTGCAAAGGTGGCTGCTCTTGAATTCATGATCGCCTTGGCCATGGAATGGTCAGCCCCCCCTAGTATTGGTGTCACAGCCGTCGGAGGGGAAGAAGGCAGGTTGCCTCCGTACCCTGATAACTGAGGCATGTGGATTCCAGTGGGAGATTGGAACTGAGGCACCGTTTGCTTCATAGAAAGCCCCTGAAATTGAGCTAGCAATGATGGATTCAGAGGTCCCAGTGGGTCGGTAAATTCTGACGACCTTGTGCCTGAAGCAGCAGCGACCAAGCTGTTCTTCCCCCAGTTGGCCCGAGGAGAGGCCGAGATGTTATCGATCAGCTTATGCTGGTACCCTTCCAATCCGAGCATATCGAGGTTAAATTCCATATCCCGAGCACTAAGCGACGCCTTGAGCCTGCTGCTCGCCAGCTGCAACGATGGAGGCGGCGTTGCACTGCCGTGCTGGCTCATCCACGCCGCCGCAGCTGCCGAACTCGACAAAGCCGATGGCGACATAGGCGACCCAGGCTGCTGTTGCTGCTGCATCAGCAGCAAAGCCGTGGCCATATCAAGAGGTGAAAGGCGTGGCGATGACAGACCGAGCGACGGGGTCACCATCCCGGTGACGGACGCTGCCATCGGGTTCACGGTGCGCAGCTCCTCCGGCTTGTGGGCGAAGAAGCAGACGCGACGGTTGCATCCGACCTCGTCCTTGCAGAGGCGGGTGCGGTATTGGGCCGGGTGGAGCCAGCTCTCGAACACGCCGTGGGCATACTCGCAGGCATCGCCGTTGCGGCACGACCCCTTGCGGAATTCGGGGCAAGGGACGCAGCTGTAGAGGAACTTCCTCGGATCGCGGCGGCGGGCGTTCTCGCCGGGGTGGACGAAGGGGCATTCGGTCCAGTCGTGGGAGTAGGCCCGCGAGCAGGGCTTCACCTTGAACGTGTACATCCGGAACTCGTCCGTGCAGTAGATCCCGTTCTTGATGTCCGGGAGGGTAGAATCCGGCGGGTACTCCTTCTTCTCCCCCTGCTTCGCCTCTCCTCCCTTCCCCGGCGAGGGAACCCTCGGAAAAGACGGCGCCTTGAGGGTCACCTCGAGGGATCTGGCCACGGGGGCGGGGATTTGCCGCGCGATGACGTCGCCGGGGCGGTTGCCGGCGGCGTCGAGGGCGTCGACGTCGGCGGAGGCGGCGAGGAGGAGCTCTACGGCGGTGGGAGAGGAGGTGGCGCCGCCGGAGGCCGCGCAGTGGAGGGCCGTGGCGGCGTCGGAGGAGGAGCAGCGGAGGACTTCGGAAGGGCAGGCGGCAAGGACATACTCGAGGACGGCGGTGCTTCCGTGGAGGGCGGCGACCATGAGCGGGGTCCGCTGCTGGAGGCCCATCCCACGGCCGCCGGAGCGGCGGCAGTACCAGGGAGCGGCGGCGTCGAGGGGATGGCCATGGTCCTCCACGGCCCGCCTAAAGGCCGGGAGGTCGTCGGAGGCGGCGAGCTCGAGGAGCAGCTCGGCCGCAGCCGGCGCCTGCGTCTCGGTGACGCCGCCGCTCATCTCCTACAAAGCACCAAAGGTGGGTTGGGGGCGGGCGTGGTGGGTGGAATGCGCGACGCCGGCTGCGAACAAGGACAACAACTGGGTTCGGCCCAAGGCGGGTTTAATAGGGGAAGTTCCAAGTCGCGGTTTGAGGTGGTCTTCGGTCAGAGGTTACGACTTTCCATACAAACTACCTCACGACCGTATGTCCATTTTCCACGTGGCACTCATCCAGGGTCGTACTTCTCCGTCGCGTCAAACGGATGTTCGCCACGTAGCGAGTTGAGACTGAACTCGCTGCCGAAGCTGAACGATGAGACGCGAACGGTCAAAAGAGGGAGACGCTCCTCATCGCCCCGTTCGTCCCCCTTCGGAACACTTGAAACGACCACATACCCAAGATCGACCGACCCACGCGAGTGGGTCCCAGAGGCTCTCGCCCACACGAAAGGGCGGGTAGACGGGGGGGTACAATACTCCCCAACGCTCCATAATCTTTTTCCGGTCGGTGATGCAAAAAGCAGAAGCCCCAAGTGGACGAATGCCAGGCCCCACCTTCCACTCCGTCGGAGGGCGAATCGCAGGAGGCCACGTCAGATCCTTGAGCCGAGTATTGGTAGTGGGCTCGAAAAGCAAGACGTTATACTTTTCTGTATCTAATTCTTTTTTGTCATTTATTCATTTATTTACTGACAAAAATGGTCGTAAAATAATCATATGTATTTTTGGTGCTTACAATAGTTAGGATAATATTCTCTCCCATATATATGGAGATTGTCCCCTCATATCTCATTTGGATAGCAATCATTCACCGGAATGAGATGAGCAATTGATTGGGAATCATCTTCCCGATCCGTACGGTACACAGTGCACCGTAAGATTGGGGAGATGAACCATGTGAGATGTGATCGATTGGGCTCACTTGCGGATCTAAATTGGTTTAGATAAATACTCACATGAATTTAGTAGAGTCCGAATTTATATGGGATGAGAGTTTAGTATTCTTCCGCGACTTGGAAGATCAGAGACAGAGTTACGAAAATTAGTCTCGACGGTATATATTATATCCCTTTTAGAGAGAGAAAGAACGAGATGGAAGATAATGTATGACTTGAAAGTTAATATGGACAGTATATATTATATCCTTTTTAGAGAGAGAAGAAACGAGATAAAAGATAATGTATGACTTGAAATTTTTTCTTAAGTTTTGAGGTCATGATTTTGGATATTTTCGTAAAGATATAACATAGTCGTAGTCATCGATACTAATATGACTTTTATTCTAACATGTACTTACATCTTAGTCATATTTATGTTTATAAATACTTAATTATATTTATATCAACGGTGGCCTTTGCACTATAATGATTTACGATTTGATAAGACATTAGCTATGTTTATGGTTTCATTATAAAAATAAATTTAAGCATATGTTGTTCTAAAATGTATTCTAAGTATTTTATGTGATGTGAAATGCACACATAGTAAAGAAAATATTTGATATTTACATATATTTCGAAAGCATGTATTGAATGCATAAAGAATTCATATATTTGATATAAAATGGTAAGTTATGAAAAAAATTGTTAGAATATGAGTCACAGTGCTTATTAGGCTATGGCTGCTTATATGATTAATTTTAAATTTTTTAGATTTTGAGTAATTCATTTTGGATACGAAAAGAAGAATGATTTGGACACTGTTATATTTTTTGTGTATGTTTTTTCTTTATAATTAACACGATAAATTTATGTCTAAATCTTATGAATCAAATCCCATTATAAAACTTGTAACTCGATAAATCTCAAATTAGATTCATAAAAGTTTGACGTTTAGGGTCACTTACAAAAACATATCGTCGAGGTCTCTTCTACGATCAAATTAGTAAATACGCAGAGATAATTTTTCGGACTAAGATAGCCCGATGTCAAATTAAATTTCTTTTCTTCTGGTCTTTTAACACATCCTTGAATGTGTTAATATTTCTTTTCATAGCAGAGCATTCAACAACCGGGAGCTGTAAATTATTCAGTCCAAGTCAATTAGCATCTCATGTGTTTGGGTGCCAGAAACCTTGGGCTGAGAAGAAGGACATCTTTTTCTAGACCTTGAGCTCTTCTTTATGATTAAGAGATCCATCAAGCTGGTCTTAATTATTATTACTAAGCCCAATTCAATCGAAAAGGTTCAAACACATACAGCTACAGACTTGGAAGCATGACACACAAAGTCCTATATGCTGCACAGAAAATTGGACACAGTGAGTTGTGCCATTAAAGATTGTTGTCAGAATGAAGACACTACAGCCATCAAACCCAACATGCATTCTCCCTCCTGCAAAATGCCACTGCAAATTAATAATATTCAGATGAAATGGTCAACAAAACATCCTCATGTCTGCTGCTGAATTCAAAAGTCCATCATTCACTGCTGCTGTAGAAAGCTGTGGCCCTTGAATCCATCAGATAAGAATCTCCTCCATATCTCTCATCATTTACAGTGGGAGTCAGATTAAGACTACAAGGTTTGAGGCAGTAGGGACAATATACTCCAGATAAAAGTCTGGAATAGATTTGTTGTTGTGGCTACTAAATCATATCATCTTTATTTCAAGTTATTTGTTTCAGTTGCTGCAGCAGTCAATGCCACTCCAGTTTTCGATTCCACTGCATTGGTATCTGCATCAACTGCATTCCCATCTCTTAATTCAAATGAAAGCCATAAACATGGAAGGGTAGAACTCACTGAACATGATTACACGAGGAGAAGAAAAGCTTATGACATTGTTGTTCTCACCAATCAATTATCATCAAGTCGAGCATATTAGCTTTTGATGAGAGTCCATTTCAATCTTCTCTTTTACTTGTGATCTTGTAAGTGTGAATTGCAGGAAATTAAACTCTAATTTCAGCATGAGTTTACATCAGCAACTTGTGAATCATTCTGCTGAAATCCAACTGAAAAGCATATTAGCTTCCCTCAGCATTCAATCGACTACAAACATTTAAAGAACTTCTTTGCTTGAGATCAATCTTTTGGGTGGGCATGGATTCAAGACTCCTTCCGATACTGCCCATAACATAGGATAATACATAGATAATGAGCTTCTCAAGCTTAACCAAAGCTATATTAATCTTTTACTGGTCTTGTTTAAAACAAATATCCCTTCTTTGATTCTTAATTAGAACTGTTCTTAGTGGTTGAGAAAACAGAAAAACTTCTCATTCTTTCTTTCTTTCTTTTATGGTAATCTCATATATCTATTTCCGATGCCTCATTTCAAGATGTGGAAACACTTAGCAACTACAAATTCATATCATGCGATGAAGAGTAACTCACAGAGCCTTTCTATGGTTTAGTCTGACCAGTAAATGTGACATACCATGAGGAACTTCAAGAGTTAGGAACAGATCAAGTAACTCTGATCCTTTCATTGGCATTCCTTCTTCTTCTGAGTGCTCTTAAATGATATATACAGAGAGCATCATAACATTTTTGAAATCATTCACAGTGAATGTATAAGAATCTGTGATACTAATAATCATAATTCCAGTTTATTCCAACAGGTAGTAAAAACCATTTTATATGAGTTGAGAACTCTTGAGCTATATTGCCTTCTCAAAGTGGAATGAGGCAGAAGAAGCATCTGCATGCTTCTGTTGCGTTAGCAGATGCTACTGGTACCTAATTCTTGATGGGAAGCAAAGCATATATAAAAGCTAGTCTAAGATCAAAGAGCTAACCTTTCTTTCTCTCTCTCTCTCTCTCACTTCTTCCATCTCCCGTTCTGCCATAGAGCGAAGCTTAGAGCTGTGATTGCTGTTGCTGCAAACTAGCAATCCTTGTGAACGAGCTTGTTGAGAAGGGCGATAAGGAGGGCGTGCCGCCTCTCGGCTCGGGTCTCCTCCCGGACGCGCCGCTCCTCCTCCCGCTCCCTCCATCGCCTTTCCAGGTCCGTCCTCTCCTCCTGCAAGCCTTGCATCAGCCTTCTCCACTGCTCCTCCTTGGCCCTCCGCTCTGCATCCCTCGCCTCAACCGCCTCCGCCCATCGAGCCTCCATCTCCAGCTGCCGCCGCATAAAGTCCCTCACGGCACCTTCCAACTCTTCGTCGGGCCGCTTCTTTCTCTCCACCTTCCGCCTCTTCTTGCTCCCCGCCACCTTCCCTTCCCCCTCTTCCTCCTCCCACTCTTTCGCTTGGACTTGCACCTGTTTCCCCCTCGCCTTCTCGAGGACGAGCAGCCTCTCCATCCTATCGGAGAATATCTTCCTCATTTCTTCGTAGAAAGGGAACTGCCGATTGATCTCTCCCTCCACAGACTCACTTCCCTGCATCAAATCAACATTATACATTTACCTCTCAAAAAAAAAAAAGATAGAGATAGAGATAGAGAGAGAGAGAGAGAAATATAGGACCTTGAACCGCGTGACGAGGTTCTTCCACTTGGACTTGCACTGGTCGGGGGTCCGGAAGAAGCCTCTCTGCTGCAGCAAGGAAGAGATGGCTTGCCACAAGGGCTTGTTACGCTTGGTCTCGACGAAGCTCTTGTCGAGCTGGGCGCGGATGGCGAGGAACACCATGGTCTCGTCATGAGTCCACTGGGGGAACCGTTCTGAGGTCTCCTGGGGGGGTTTAACTCGGAGGTAAGGGTGGAGTTCCATGGAAGGAAGAGAGAAGAGAGAAGCCAGAGAGAGAGAGAGAGAGAGAGAGAGAGAGAGAGAGATCTCGTGGGAACGGAAGGAAGATCTTGATGGGTGATGGGGAGGGAAGGTGGCCTCGGGAGGAGGAAGTCGCGTGGTCGCGTCTATGTGTCAACGCGGCAACGGCTGTGCTTTCCCATTGTCTGCTTCTCCGTTCCCACGCGGCCCGAGGGGGGGGGGGGGGGGGGGTTGGCTTGCGTTTGGGTGACATCAGGCTTACGAGAGGAAGGAGAGAGCGAGAGGAGGAAACCAGTTGGCTTCCCTGACTTGAGCGCTACGCTTTGGGAGACCTCTCTTCCAATTTGGAGACCTCTCGGCCAGGCTACACGTCCGACGCGGTCGCCGATTGGCCATCCAGGTGGGTTCCGCACGGGCCCCGATGGATCCGGCCATCGGGTCCCACATAAATCTCGTGGGTCTTACGATCTGAGGTCTGTCACGGTGGGCCCCTCACATTTACGAGGTGTCAAACATCGTGCGTCGACCCTCCCTGCGTGGGTAGACAGACGGTTGGGTCGAAACAAAGTAAATGTGACGCGCATTTCCGAGTCATTCAAAATATCGAACCACATCTCATGTGCAAAGCCCGACATTGCAACACATCCCCGGTTATGGTGGAAACCAATTCGAAGTGATTGATTACTACGTTACTAATTATTTTTGTCGATTGCTGGTTTAATCAGTTAAATTTCAGTGTGTAAGAAAAAATGCAAGCCCCGTTCTTCATATATCATCATGAAAATAATGACCAAATTTAAGATGCACATAGTAAGAAAAAAGAAGTCTGGCATTCATATGGGTCGAATTAATTTCAACGTGAAAGGAATTCATGCCAAGTAAATTCGATAAATGCTTGCACAATTAACTAACTATAGATGCACAAGAAAGAAGCATGGAGAAGAAGGCACGTCAAACGCAAATCCAGATCTATGTAATAGTTTAAGCTGATAATACGAGTTACAGATGATAATTGACTCTTCCAATGTTATAATTCGGATTCAGATGAAACGCACTTTGATAGGACCTAACACTACTTAGTAACTACAGTTAACATAAGGAGGAACGGAGTAGTCGGCTTTGCATTTGAGGAATGGGAACAAATTCTTACTGCCTTCCTTTCTTTGAACTGCAACCGGGGCACTTGTACTGCTTTATACTCTCAGCTTTTGCAGGAGTTATCTTCACACACTTCCCATGAAACCACCTTTCACATACATCACACGCAATCCAAAACTCATCTGCGCTGTAACTTCCTCCGCAAGTTCCACAAAGGGTTTCGCTGTGCTCGTCGTCATCTTCACCATACTCCTCGTCGGCTGTCTTTGAGTTGCTTTTTATCTGTCCTTCGCTTGATCGCTGCAGAGGAACATGTAGTTATTGCTCACCAAATTAGGCACAACTCAAAGATTCAATGATCATCACCTTGGTTGAGAGTTTAGATTTGCTTGCACTGTCCACGCCAGACTTTTCTTTCGATCGCCTCCTGTCCGAGACCACTTCAAAGACGGTTGGAAGTTCATTGATCATGCTAAACAAGCGTTTCCTGTCGGTATGAAGGAGAACAACATATTATACCTTCGGTAGCCTTGTGTTTAAGAAACACTGACAAAAGTAGTCAACTGGGACTATAGAATTTTCATCCTAGTACTTGATGCATATAGTTTCAGTTAAGACTTTGCTTCAGCTTATACTATGTTTACCACAATTCTTCTAGTTATAAAGTAAAACTTTTAACCACTGCTGACTTAGTAATCTAGAACAAACATGTTGAGTGTTGACCTTTGAAACAAGATACATCATGCATAAAAATATTGACAAATTTGGCTAAAGTCTAATGTACTAGAAACTTTTCATTTTCAATTGGTTTTCTTACTAACATTCTACGAGCTCAGGGCATTGGTGAAAAATATCATTATGAAAACTGCAAATCCAGAGGAAAAGTTCACGACATGCTGATCTCCAAACAAAGGTTGCACAGTTCACTTATTTAGGCTTCGACATTGCATACTCCACATGCTACCTAGTCTTCACCTGGCACTGACTAACGTCTCCATGCTTCACACATGAGTGCAGTAGGCTTAGTGTTATCATATTGCAGAACAACTTCTATTCAGATTAAGTGCCAGACTGAAACCTCTGGATGTAGAGACAGTCATGTGCATCAGTTAGCAAATTCTCTCTATATCAAGATGGAGCACATGATAGAAACAACAGCAACCAAATTACTCAATCAAAAAGCATATTAGCAGACAGCTTATTATATAACTTTACCGTTGCATACAGCCAATTAACTCAGTCTTGGATTGCTAAGTGAGTTTGGCTATAACATAGAAGGTCTGACCATTTAGGTTCTACAAAGACTACAAAAAAAAGAATACCAAGATAAAAATAGCTATTCATTATAAAAATCAAATTAGCACTCCCATTATGCAATATAAAAATAGCTAATATTCCACGTTCCAAACACTCTGACTTAATATTCTTGCATGGTAACCAGCATACAAAGAAGTCAAACAGACAAAAGAAACGAGCATCATTCTTTCTTTCCTTGAATAAACTAATATGATATCCAGAAATTCAGAGATAGTCTGACTTCCCTAGTAAAAAAACGAGTAGGAACAGTACATATTATTTATTGCATTCTGAGCGACACTGACCTCAGTGTTATTTCAGTCACTTCTATTTCTTAGAGACATCCAATCAAAGGTTAAATCTAAATGATTCAGGCTATGCATGTGCATATGATGTATCTATTTTACGAGAATAAAGAATGATCCAGTGCCTGGTATATCAGTAATGAGAAAACAAAAAATTTTATATCAAATAAGTTATTATTAAGTGGGGTTAATTTTTAACTAAAAAATACACAATAAAGCAATGAAATAATGCATGGATCTCAACTTATAACGTACAAGGTGAAAAACAAGGACAGGTAGGACGAAACTGCGGTTGCAGAATTTCACTGGGACCTGAAACAAAGATGCATCAGAGCTTGACTTCCAACACAAGCAGCAGCTACAACACTTCCCCAAACCCATGATTTTCACACATTTTCATCCAGCTAATTGCATGAGCAAAACTAATACCATCATGCTTCTGCAGTAGTTTGTGTATAACTACTCAAAATCAGTGCATCATTCAAAATCAAGTCTGCACAGGTATAATGTGGTCTTCCCTTTCATCCAAGAGCATCACTTTATACATGAAAACCCCATCCGACAGCACTCCACTTCAAACACCTCCCATAATTTACATAAACGACTACAGACATCAGGTAGAAATGTATTAATCAATTGCTAACACAGAAGTCCTTTCAAAATCTAGCGTGAAGAGTAAAGCTCTCAAAATTCCATGTTTGCAATTCTATGCTATTTATTGTGCTCGAATAGAGTTGCCGGCAAGTGGTCTATACCTTATGAGAGCATAATGGGCATGATCTAAGTATCTAACAAAGAATCAATATGAGACCTCAGTCCATTAGGTAGGGCATTGATGGGCTTTAATCATGAACTTTAGATCAGCACAATCTAGGAATGGTTTTAGTGGGTCAAGCAAGTAGATAGGTGCAGATAAAAAAAATCCAACATATTGATCCAGACCAGGATCAATTTACCTTCACTTTACCACCAAGTATGCTCACGGAAAAACAAGTTCCACATAATTCAGGACTGTAGACCCTTTTATGCCATCTAAATCATATAGCAGCTTCTAGTAGTCTCCATGCTCTTTCATGCATGGAACATGTTCAGGTATCTTGCACAAATTAATTAGGAAATCAGGTTGCATATAAAAAATCAAATTGCCCCCCATGGTCGAAGAATAGGCAGGGCAAGAGTTATGCGAGAGTCAAATCCTTAAGCTCAACTAAAAAAATTTTTATCCTCAAAATAATAGACCAAATTTTAAGGCTTTTGTATGTTATGCAGGTTCCCATCAACCTTTTTAGTCACAAAACCAAATAACTATTGGCATTTAAATATCTTGTTGTGTATCTATACCCGTCAAATCTTACGAGCGAACTCCATCTTTATCATCTTTTTGAAACCATAAGCCTGCAAACAACAAGAAAGAATCTAGCAGACAAGAAAATGAAAAAGTCTAATATCACCTGTGACAAATTTTCAATTTGTTTTTCCAACATGTCTGCATGTTTCCTTATGAAAAAAAAACCATATGGCATCAGCAACCAGACGTGTTATGCACAAATAGGACTTTCTTCTTATCAACTGATAGATTGTAGTGCATCATGTATCTTTTACCTGTTAACTTTAATAATGCCTTGGACCCCTAAGTTAACATACAATTAAAAGGAAAGATAAATGAATTCATACTCAATGATCAAAGGTTCTGACCTGAATGCCTTTTTGGGGCTGCTTTGGTTTCTAAAGCAATTATTCACATATGGGCATGACTATTGAAAGAGTGACTTGTATCACTAAAGAAAAAGAGAGGATGGGATAGATGAGGTGTTATTTGTAAAATGACTAAAAATAGAAATAACAAAATTGCTTTTATTTTAAAGCTGGTAAAAATACTAAAATAGTTTTACTTTTTATGATACAAGCATCTTTCATTACTTCAAGTAACATTGCTTATTGATTACTTTTTAGACAAGCAGTGTCAAGAAAAATTTATTAGAAACACTAAAAGATGTATTTGATAATTGATTATTTGATTACTTCTTGTTTGACAAGTAATTTTTCCCTCAACGGTGTTGTTGGCAAGAAAAAGAATCCATGCATATAACCCCAAATAGTTGGGACCTTATGACATTTGAACTTCTTTGACTTCTGTAATCTACCAAATTGATCAATAAGTCTATATCGAAAGTAGGTGTTGTGAATTTCTGGATCCAATTAAAGCACAATTCAATCGGAACAACAAAATGTTTGAGTGAGTTACCTGAATTCTTTCTTTGCCAATCAGGATTGACCTATTCGTACCATGATCAAATCAGCCTGCCAACAATCTGGCAATGCAGCCAAGGAATTGACTAAATAAGATAAGGAATGGCTGATCTGAGCAACAAATGTTTGATCAATCCTATTCCAAGTTCGATGATATTATTATCCTATCCTATAGTACAGATTCAACTTTATCACCTCCATAAGCTTTTCTTTTCACATGACAGCTAATTGTGAAGATAACTAGCTAAATTTTACAATTCAATTTTAACTCTCCATGCCAAAAAACTTACTCCCTTGTATATATAGCGCCATGAAGGGTCACATTAAAATTTTCCTATGTCCATTAAGTGGCAAATCATTTCTGCACTTCATATTTCACGTATGTATTTAAAAAGACATGATCAGGCACACACCAGTGTAGGCATAACAGTGTATCTGAAATAGTTTCATAAGGCCTATATCCAATTGAAGTGCTAAGTTCCAACAAATTTGATAGGGCCAAATATCAAATTCTACAGACTAATAAACTCCAAATGTTCTCCATAATATGGTACATTCTTAGTCGTCAATATAGAAAAATTTAAAAGATAAATGATCGGAATTGTTAAATGATTCCTAAATAACATTTTGTTAGCAAAATGGCAGCTAAACTGTAAGTTACAATCTCACATATCCACAATAATCTAAAGGAGCTAATTATATGAACCCACTAGATCAACCAAGTCTCTGAATATTCATATCCTCACAAATGATTGTGCATGAAGTATTATCAAACAGGTAGTCATCAAAGTGTGGAAGCCAATACCATTTACGTTGCAGCAACATGTATAAAAAGTTGTGAAATAATTCAAAATATGAGCACATAAGATAATATTATCTAGCTTCATAGCGCATTTTAATTGGAGCCGCATTTCAAGATGTTATACTCCACTATGGTTACCATTCCTCACCAATAAAAAGAAAAAAGATGAGAAGAATAAAAAGCACAATCTTCTTAAACCACCCAGCAACATCACCACTGGAGCTAGGAAAATAAGAAAAAGTTGTACTATGAAAAACACACCCTAACATAAATAAAGCAATTTTGGGGGAGAATACTAGCTAGTTGTATCCTCCAATGTATTATTACACAAAAATAAGTAAAGGATAGGTTGGTTTGACATTAGACAACCACCAACTGCTTACAACAAATGCTATTAAACAATAAAAATCATCAACCGATATAAGAGGCTTTACCATGACATGGTTAGTCCTCTTGGCCATGTTAGGAGCCTTGTCATAACTAACACATTCACTTTATTAAAGTACTCATCCAGATAAGCCTATTGATGTCATTTTTTTAGATTTAACAAAGCCTTCAAACTTGGTCTCAGCAGTTTAAATAATTTACAATAAGGAAATTCATCTTGAAAGATAGCAGAGAGCAGAGAGCAGACACTACGAGTCAAAGCAACCCACTAAATGTAATTTATAAGATTAAAAATTATCAAATAATTCAATCACACACAAGCACACAGGGATATATTCTTGACTTGAGCTACATACTAGCCCCAAACACTACAAACCGCTATAGTGACCCTATGGCCTACTATTTTAACAACAACAGGTATCAAAAGAAGTGAATAAACCTATCAATTTCAGCATATTCAGAGTATTGGTTAGAACAAAAACATTATAAAATTTTATGTGATGATGTGTTTGGACAAAAATTTGCTAGACTACCACGTTCTCCGCATGCTGTGTTATTGGGACGAAAGGGACTGCTATGAGACACAATGTGGGCTCTCAGTTACCGGGGGGGGGGGGGGGGGGTGGAAATCTTCTCGCCCATGCATGTGTTCAGACAATGGATACTTTTAAAGCATATCATGAGCTATTAGTAAGGTAAAAACAGGATTCTTTTCAAATACTTGTTTCCCATTGGCCTATGCCATGTATCAATAATGTGTCTGTTTGCCAGACACCAAGGCCTCGGCAAGAATGTATATTCTCCCATCCGATTTAAGTAGGTTTGCGTTCCCATTTCCAAATGAGATAATGGGCAACAGAAGTTTTTCTTTAAATGGAGATTATTCTTTTAGACAAGCATCAGAAATCTCAATTTCTCAGTCATTTCCCAACTTACATATCCATCATCATGTCTAATAACATTAAACTATAATCGCAGTATTTTATGGTCAAATATTAATTATCAGTCTGTCCTGTAACCTTAATCATAAAACCATCGAAACAAGCCAACATATCTACCAAGCATTTACAGTTATGAACTGTAAAGGCACCAGATTCTGGAACTACCCATTCCTACCTCCTACTCGACCGCACAATTTATGCATAGAACATATAGAAATAAGAGACAGTAAGAATTCCAGAGACTGCTCCTTTGAATCGAACCCATACCTCTCGTTTCGGTTGAGGCGCGCCCCAAGATAGAAAGCAACAGACAAGAGCCAGGAGTCGCTATGCACGGCGATGAGCGAGAGCCAGTCGCGGCGGTTCATCCCGTCCCTCGCGAAATTAATCCCAAGCGCTGGCTCCGGCAGCTCCGGCGGCACCTCCTCCGCCGGGAGGTTCACCTCCCACGAGTCGTTGGGGTGGCCGTACAGGCACAGGTTCTCCTTCTCTGCACCACCGACAAATCGGATCAAGAATACACCCGGAAACACCAAACAAGCTGGATCTGCGAGGCGAAGGCTGCGAGAAACCCACCCGGATCGCACTGGGCGTAGAACTCGTCGACATCTGGGACCAACAAGCGCCGTCAAAGAGGTCAGCCAAAGAAGAACAACGACAATAGCAACATCATCACAAGAGAGAGAGATAGAGAGCGCGAGGCAAAAGGAAGGGAAGGGAACCATGGGTGAGGGCGCGGACGATGCCGGCGCGGCGGCTGCTATAGTCCTTAAAGATCTCTTCCACGGTGCGGGGGGCGGAGGAGATGGAGCCGACTTCCATGACGCGGCGGGTCTCAGATCAGGGGGCGTTCGGATCCGGCACTATGGATCGCCGGAGGAGGAGGGAGCGCATGCAGAGAGCAAGCGAAGTGGTAGTGTTCTCGTGATCGATGCGAGGAAGACGGCTCCCATCTATCTAGAAGCCCAGGAAGAGAGAGAGAGAGAAGCAATAAAGGTCGAATTTGGTTTGCCCTTTTGGGCTTTTCGAAATAATTAATGTATTTTTCCTCTGTCTCTTTTGCTTTTTTTTTTCTTCCGAAATTAGGGTATTTTTCATTTATCTAAAATGGGAATACGTGGCGACCAAATCGGACCGGTTGTCAATTGGATTCAATCCCGGTGTCAGGTCCGTCGGATCGGGCTTCAAGTAAACGAAACCACATCTTGTCACGCGCAAAACACGTGACATATAATTAGAAAATAAAATAGCTTTTTTCTTTTTATTTTTATACTTATGGTTTGTGTTGGACGATTTGATTGGTTATTTTTTATACCAAATTTTTATTAAAATCTTTTTTAATTATTCTCTATCTTTTCTGTACCACTCATAATAGTAATTATTTCTTGTTATTTTAATATTCATATGTCCATTCAATTTTTTTTATTATTAGTGCCTTTAATCTAAAGGGTATAATATAATCATATAAAATTCATTTCTAGAAAGATATATACTATCTGTTAATCACCAGAATACTATACCATAGTTTTCAAGGATAAGCGTAAACAGTTAGTGTTTCTCAAGAAATGGCTCTTTGATGAGCACCAACTCATTCATCAATGGAGCGTTCAGAAGCCACATGATTCCAAAACAAGTACAAGTCACCTCCCAGTGGAGATGTGAGCATGAACTCGGCTGCCTCAGTTCTCCTTGCCGATCACCTTCAGCAACAGAAGCAACTGCAGGAAGAGATACGACGCTCCCCCGACAGTGGCGTACTGCAGCTTAGATGTTCCCTGCACTTCGGAGAAATCACCGTCGCCGGACCTGTTGAATCCTCCGGCCAGCCACCCCAAGTTCTTGTACCCTCCATTGTGCAGTGCCCTCACCGCAATCATCGACCTCGAGTCAAGAAAGAAAGGTATCAGCACAGATGAGAGCGGAGCTTTGACACAGAGGCTGTGGAGCTTTCGTTTACCTGAGTCCTTCACCGCAGGCCACGAGGAGCTTGTCCTCCTTGTCGGGCACCAGCTCTTCCACCTGAGGGAGGAACTGCTCGTTGATGGTGGTGAGATGCTGACCCGTCCACAGCCCGATGTAGCCGAAGTGCACCCACTTCTTCAGCAGCGTGACGGGGGTGGGGTCGGTGTCCGCCACGAAGAAGGGGACATGAAGCGACCCCCCGACGCGGGCCTTCTCGTACTCCCACGCCGGCCTGACGTCCAGGAGGCGGAAGTCTTCGGTCCGCAGAGCGGCCGCGGCGTCCTTGGGCGGGATGGCGCGGACGACACCGGAGCGGATGAGCTCCAGCTGGCCGCCGGAGGGGTATGCCCGGCCTTGGGCTGGTGGTGGAGTGCTCGCCATGAAGGTTGCGCGTCGCAGCTTGGCGGTGGCGACGTGCGCGGCACCGGCGGCCATGGCTGCTGCTGCTGCTGTGTTCTTCTTTCTCCTCCTCTTGCTATGGATAGACTTATCTAATGGTCTCTCGTGTTGTGTTTGGTTGTCGACTTGGACGTATGCGTCCACGTCATAATAGCTTAAAATATCGACATATTTGTATATATATATCTAATATTAAGCGATTTAGGTTCTATATGTGCGGCTGCAGAACACAAACAATAAAGACTAAATACAACAAAAGCACAATATGAGTATATGATTTCATTGTATGATAAAATCAAATCAAAGAATATGTAAAGACATTTTTTCTTTTGTGCAACCACAAAACATGAACATTGGAAGATAATTTGGATTTGTCATTTTTACAGAAACGGCAATATGACCTTACAGAGCAAAGTCAATATGTAGTTGCAAGAACAGAAAGAACAAGAGGATGTATTAATCCAAAGTTTTATGTTGTTTTACAGTGACGAGACATGCTTCAGCTTTATATATGGAAATCACACGATTTATCATAAAATTGGATACAGACTTCAATGGAAAATGAAATCAAAGCGCATTAGCAGCTTCACAGATTTTAGGGTCTGACCCTTGCGGTCGCACAGACTAACAGAGCGGATCCCAGTCCTTAATTCCCACACCGGCAAACAAGTCTGGCCAGCAAAGTCATCCTGGTCCGACACATCGTGCTCGAAAACTTCAATGCGAAGCAAAGCAAGTTCTGGAACAGTCAACTTGAACTCGAACTCTTCATCCCAAACCGGCGTCCAACAATCCTCGATTATTTTCGTTTGCTTCATTGTTGTATCAACTGGGACTCCAGCTATGCCCACCTGTTTCATCCATAGCATGCCTCAAGTTCATAACTGACATGAAGATACATTGATATTCTATCTTCTACTTGCAAGTGCAAAAGCAAACTGTCTGAATTAGGCTATAAGAAATATGCTTTCCATGAACACGGCACAACTAATGCTTAATGATCGAATCAATTCATCAATAGCGCAAAGGTTAATGATGAAATCTAGTAGCATGAAAATAACCATATCATATGTATTCTTCCTTGAAAGGATTGATCTTACCCATACTACTGATATATTGGCACAAAAATCATGTTATTTCCTTAATCTTACCCTTGCATAAAAATCTGGTGGTGAAAATGTATCAAAATGTGATTTATGGTAATCAAAGCGCCACCCGTCCCCGGTGTATACCCTCACCTGACATTAAATGGCATCATGTTAATATGAATGTCACAAAGGTAAAATAACTATTGAGATATAAAAGCAGAATATGGTCAAAATTCACCTTCAATGTTTTCATCGGTAGCAATGTAGCTTTAGGATCAAAGAGTTGATCTGGATTATCATTCAACAGTATATCTGGCTTCTTCACATATCCGCACCCTCCATTCGCTTTGAACATACCATGCAACAACCAGAGTGGTTGCCCATATCCCTGTGGTGCAATATTCATATCCATGATGGAATAAAAATTGAATAAATTCTTCTATCAGCTATTAGTTTGTGATATATTGTGGGCATTCAACGTCAACTATTAGTTTGTGATATAATTTGGACAAGCCAGTGGCGAATTTTATTGGAACAAACTCGTACACAAAAGCAATCTGGCAAAACAACCTAGTATTAGATTAGCAAAATACTCTATATGCCAGTATAACCAACCTACAAAAAATATATATAATAGCCTTGAATAAACTTCACAAACATATATGATCATCCTACTTCATGTTCCAAGAAATGTGTAGACGATGGATAAAAGCAGGTGAATCTTCGAGACTTCGAATTACAGCTAAAGCCAACAGAAAATTATTTGTCTACGAAGGCCCAGCTATATAAATAAGGATTGAATGGATTAGAGTGCTCAATATTGTGCACGATAGATAATTTGTAACCCCAAGGAAGTTAAATGGATAGAATCTATAACCAACTTGCAGGTGCCCCTTCCACAGCATTAAGTCTGACAGAGATCACATATTTCACATCAAAAGGGTCTGAAGAAAGAAAAGCGGTAGATATGTTTGCTAAAAGGTCATCGGAGAGCCAACTGTATGATGAACAGAATACAGAACACAAGATTATGGCAAATATTTCCAGAAAATGATTCTGCACATATAACTTAGCATATTTTTGGGACAATCTCTGCAAGTAAAATAAGATTCAAAGAATACAATAAATGCAATTATAACATGCGGGAACACTAAAAGAAATAAGGGATGTCTTGCAGAACTACTGTATCTAAAAGAGCCATTAAAATTTCTCAATAATGCTAAGCACTGCAGGATAAGTATAAGGTTTGCATTCTGATATAGTAAATTACAATCAGCTCCAGCTCTGACATTCTTTATCTAACAGCTACTATGTAAGCGTCCCAGAATGAACCTACCTGTAGGGGTAAATTATGATCCTAAGTACAATAGAAGCAAAGCAAGTACCTGCATGTTTAGTGCAACCATCTGTGCTCCATGCATCCAACCAAGCAATGGTTTGTAATTAGAAGAAGTAACACGTGTGCCCTTTGGGAATATCCTTAACAAGTTTCTTTGAGTGAACCTGGAAACATCATCAATCAGCTTCCTAGTCTTACCTCTTTTACGTTAGGCCCATAAACACAAAATCAATCCAATGCGAAACAACACAAGACACTCATCAGAGAGGAGAGATTCAATTGCAGAATCAAACATGATGACACAAATAAGCAGTAAGAAACATATGAAATACACCAAGAAAGACCTGCTTCTAAAATACCTAATAAGTTCAGTTCCATGGGATGATGCAGCTTTCTCAAGTGCTAGTTCACTTAGGCTAAGACGTGTAGCTTTATGAGGATCAATCTTCAGTGCCTCGGTTAAGTCACCCTGCATTTTCTTTGCTGCAATCGCTATTAGACGCTTGTATTCAATTGGTGATTTTCCATCGCCCTCCTCAGGATCTTCTTCTTGATAATGTTCATTTAGTTCATGCTGAATTTGTCAGCGAATAAGATGCATAATTGAATTTCACATTGCAGAAACTACCAAGAAGGAAACAAAGAAATTGGTACTGACATCATTAGTTATGGCTTCATGGTCCGAAACTTCTTCACTCCATTCTTCTTCATCTACATTTTGCCCTTCATGCTCTTTTTCCTTGATCTTGATATTAAGGTAAAGAAATTAGTTAAAGACCACAGGATTAAGTTAGCAACATGTAATATAAGAACACTTTCAGAGGAGGGGTTAGAATTAGCGGATATGATGATAAATGAAGAAATAATATAATTCATTTATAGGAAACTAAGTAGGAAAGGGGAAATCTAGGAAGATCGGTAATACAATATAACAAAATTTGGACACACGTAAGTTCAAATATAGAAACAAAGTAGGTATATTTGTAGATAAGAATGTCAAGGATGATATTGTAAAGATGAAAAAAATTGGGCATAAAATTAAATTTTGTTTTAGGAGAAGAGATTCTAAATGTTAGAATTACTTCTGCCTTTTCAGTTGGATTACATGACCAAACCAAGAGAGAATTTTAGAAAAATTTTCTACATCTAATGAACTCGTAATTTCACAAATGTTTATCCTCACATCTAAAATAGAATTGAATATTCAATTACTCTCAAGAGCAGATATAACTATAGTTATTTTTTTCTCACTAGAAAGATACAGTTACTCATAGAGATTGTAAAATTATATCTAACAAAAGTTTGACTAATCAATACATATTAATGGTTTCAAAAACAAGATTTAGGAGATATCAATTAAACAAAGACAAAGATAGTTTTACAAAATCTAGATGATAGAATTCTAAAGGTAATGTACAAAGCTATGAAAGAGAATCATCTAAAATCTATTGATAGATAATACAATGAGACAATGTGATACAACTGTGGAATTTCTATTGCAAATAGAGATAAAGGAAGACTTAAGAAAACTTTACTAGAAACAATAAAAAAAATTTGAATATTCTTCGTTTAACTAGAGACATTGCCTTACAAAAAGCTTGGTGATGGGATAAAACAGCCGATCACAAATAGTTGGGACTTTGTGGCTTGTTGTCGGTGATGTCATCGTTGTCTTGGATTCAAGGTACTCTTTTGGTGGTTTAGTGGAAATCATAATCCTCATCTTTAATTCTTCCGGTGAAGGAAATACTTCTAGAGATTCCGACGTTGGAGTATACAGTATGTTTCCAAAAGTTTTAGTTAACATCTAGAAGCGAAATACAATGATCAGGTCGTATAATTTAGAAGTAAAGCATGCAGTGTTGAGATAAATAATATTCTACCTTAGCTGCTTTAGCTTGAAGATTTGGAGTTAAATGATCTTCAAGAGTAATTATGACTGGGTATGGAGATGCTTCAAAGGCATGTTCCTTAATGGATCTCAAGCATTTAATAAGTTTGATGGGAGAAGTCAGTGTCCTACAGTAATAAATAAGTAGAAAGTTTTACAAGTACAATTCTTGAAAAACATCCATAAATCACCAAGATCATATTATTTATGCCTCCAGACAACAAGTATAACAGATGATGAACTGATGAATGCTGCAGATATAAAAATTCTTGAATCAGCTATAAGTACCATTGAAAAGCAAAATTTGTAAGCTAAATTTCAAGAAATATATAATTTTTTTCATTGCAAGATCGCTTGAGGGTTTTTTTTTCCTTTTAGTCTCTCCGATTCTCACTTGACATATATGAGGAAATCTATATCCCGGCCTTGGGCCACTCAGGAGAGTTTATCTCTTGCATATATATACATATGTACATAAGAAAAAGTCAGCATATATCTATCACTCTATATCAGGTCTTCTTTTTTCTTTGAGCCGATGCCTAGGATGTAGTTCTGTTGACATGATCAAAGGGTAGATATTTCACAAGTTTCTCACATCAGAAAGGTTATGTAATGATGTAGGCCTAGATCTAATGCTTCCATCTAGGAAACTGGCACAAATGTCAACAGTAGCAGAGAAAAAAAGAGGAGAATGTTCTCTCTTGTGGATGCTTCATGATAGCATACCAACACATACCACTACTTGTCTAGCTTTTTCAGTAATAGCCAAACTTACTTCATGTGATTATATTACTTAAACCTTGCAAAGTCTTATGATTGTTTCACTCATGCAATACAAAAATTGTTTATTACAATTATACACTCAACATCCCATGAGCCAAAGTCATATTACAGGTTGACGATACAGGTGCAGTTCAAGTACCTCCCATGAAGAACATTCACATTATTGTTTGTTTCATTCGGCCACAGATCCAATTCGATTACTCTCACCCCACTCCGCAAAGCCTTTATGATTGGAACATCACTGCAATCGCTACTGAGTTGGTTACCTGTTAAATATGAGTTATGGCCCGTATATATGAAATAATGGGAGAGCGGGGCAGTCATGTCCTGGTAGACCTGAAAGAAAAATGAATCACATTATCAGACTACCTATCAATCTACAAATCTCAGAGGAAACTGGTCTTAAAAGCAACTAAGAATTGACATCTGATCTCATAAAGCTTGTCATTGAAGAAGTTGTATAAAAAAAAAGCTCTCACGAGCAAATAAACAAGCATTTGGTGTGCAACATTTTGCCCCTGATTTAGCCGAAAATCAATCACAAGCTAAACTCAACAATCATAACCTTCGATGTAGGCATAGAATGCAGCTTGCAACAGAATGTTTAATCATGTATACTGAAGCAGACTATTCCTTCTTCTGACATTATTAGCGATGTAAAAGTTCGATTCATGACGAAGACCTCTAAATCAAGCGTAAATTAGAAGAAACTAATGACACGTTAGATTGTCCTGATTCATTTCAGGAATTTTAGCTTCTTGAACGAACCAAGTGGCCGATTGGCAGCCTCGACCGCACGCCTGCCTTCCGCATTCAAACATTCCATTGCCCGGTCCATCGCTCCGGAAAACCCTGTCCAGCCCTGAGGGCTCCCTCACCATGGGGAGCAGGGCCATCCCGGCGTGGCAAGGAAGGAGGCAGCGGTGCCCGCGTTCGATATATATATATATATAT